AAAAAAAAAAAAAAAAAAAAAAAAAAAAAAAGGTGATGGGGGAGGGTGGGGGCTGGTAGGGCACCGATCCCCCTGCCCCCATCACCCCCCCTCATCGCAATTTTTTTTATTTTATTAAACGGAAAAAAATCGAAAATAATTGGAAAATGAAAGAAAGAATGAATGAATGAATGAATGAATTAAAGAATGAAAGAAAGAAAGAAGAAGAAGAAGAAAAAGAAGGGGGGGGGGTTGCTGGCACTGCAATGGAGACCCTGCCACGCTGGGCTGCCGTATTTTTTTTTTCCAAAAGTTACCGAATAAGACGGAAGAAAAAAAAAAAAAAGGAGAGAGAGAGAGAGAGAGATACCGTACCTTGTCAAGTAGCAGTGCAGCTCCCCGCAACAACTCTCTTTCTCTCTCTCTGACTCTCTGCGATGTTGTCTCCCATAAGATCTCTCTCTCTCTCTCTCTCTCTCTCTCTCTCTCTCTCTCTCTCTCTCTCTCTGTGGGCTTCTGCAGATGTTCAAGCCTTTTATAACGTCGTACTTACTGGAGGACGCACAAGGAGATGGTGAAAACACAGAGGCTGTAGATGAAGACAACGAAAAACATCAACGAACGTCAACAAGACCGAGGTAAACCTGGTGTGAAGACAAATAGGTACCGGAAGGTAAAAAAACGAAAGAGAGTCTCGGCCTAGGCGAACCAAGTGCAGGCCTTGGAAAAAAACTACATGTGGTATACCGGCCACACTTCAACGGTACCAGTGGCAGAATAGGTCAAAATGTGGCAAAAAAAAGGAAGGGCGAGAGAGAGAGGGACCGTAGTGGCACCGGGCCTCTACAAAAAACGCGATATGGGGGTTCTAGCTTCGTGCAAAAAAAAAAAAAAAAAGCCTCGGACTGTGAAACTGAAAAAAAGGACTTGCGGAAAAAAAAAAATAGAGGCTCGGCCTAGGCTAACCAAGCTTCGGCCTTGGAAAAAACATACATGTGGTACACCAGGCTTCAGCCGCACGGCACCGGAGGCACAATAGGCCGAAATGCGGCAATAAATTGGAAGGTCAAAATTGAGAGGCACTGTAGCGGCACCGGACCTCTACCAAAAAACAAACCACGTGGGGAGGGCGCATTTTGGGAGCGGGGAGAACGAAGTTATGGGGGGCGGGGGCAATCAACGAGTTATGGGGGTTCCAGCATCGTGCCAAAAATAAAATAAAAGGCCTCGGACACTAAAACTGAGAAAAAGGAGTTGCGGAAAAATAAAAAAGAGGCGGGAGTTGCAGCTATTTTTCGATTTATTCTTTTCTTTCAAGGTTTCCATAATTGGACCTTAAATCCTTTTCATCTATGGACTCGGCAAAAAGAAATAACTTATCGGACAAAAACAAGTGACAAAAGATTCTTGCGGGATAAAAAAAAAACGAAGCCTCGATGAGAACACCATATCATCGTGGTTTTTTTTTTTTTTTTTTGGTGGTGGACCATGTGGAACGCTCGATCGCTCTTCGTAACACAATATTACAGAAATTTCAATTCCTTGCAGGAATTTCATCGCAGGACAATGACGGTTTCGAAATGAGGTCGTCAGATTGACATAACTCGTCATCATCGCGTCCAACGCATGTCGAACCGTGACACTTTTTTTTTTTTTTTTTTTTGTCTGTCGATGTCGAACATTTATTTTTTTCACCCTACACGTCCACAACAGCTCACGCTGCGGAAAACACCGAGGTTCACAACTGTGGGCCGCCCTTCCACCAACGGCTGACGTTTCAAAGGACATTTTTACGCACTTGTAAACTACCTTGCGAGGGACTCCAAACAAAAATTGAAAGTGACAGACGTGTTGGAAACATGTTGGAAATATGTTGATCAAATGTTGATCAAATGTTCAAAACATATCGGCCGCATGTTGGCAAACGGTTGGAAACATGCAACCGGTCCGTCTAAATGATTGACCGCACCATTTCACCCTCTTCATACGTTGGTTCCAAGTTGTGTGTAAGTTGAAACTATGATGAAATTTTGCCACAATTTTTTTGTTGCTTGAGGAGTCATGTCTGGAGAAGCGGCGTAGTCAGTCGCTGCAATAGCTGCCATAGCTGTCGAGCTTCGGTGCAGCGATGGATCAAAAGCTCCGTTGGTCGAAGCACAGAGTGGCCGGCCCAAGAAGGTGCCTTGCCAGCCGCAGACAGACGGTTAGCTCGCCTGGTTGCGTAGTATGAGGGTGGCGCATGCAGATGAGCAGAAGCAGCATTGCTGTGTTGTAATGTGGTAATCTTTGCACGCAGCAGAGTCGGAGGCTGAGTGAAGGAGGAGGGTAGAGAGGTGGAATGCAGCTGAATACATAGTAATTGTGATATGGCGGATTTGTGGTAGTGGGCGTAGGAGGAAGAGGTATTCGCAGCAGGGGAGGGTTAGCGGAGGTTGTCATTGCATTGAGGGGTATACGTGTTTTGCCTTGTAGATGGTCATGGCGGGGGTGGAGTGGAGGAAGGTAGCGGGTAGGGGATGTAGTGTGGTTGCTCGGGCTGTATGAATGAGATTTAGTGCCGGGAGGGTAAGCTTGCGGGAGACTTGGCTTAGTGTGACGTGGGCGAGTGCTTTCAGTTAGGGTCGGAGGGAGCGAGGTGCATTACGTTACTTTACTAGGTGCATGCTATTGACTTGTTTGTGTTGCCGTGTCGTGTTGTGGCTATGGTGGTGTTTGTTGTGTAGTGGGGGTAGTGTGACAGTGGTTTTGTCACGGGTTGTCAGTGTTGTTTCGTTCGAGTGTCTTATGTGCTAGGTCCTGTTGTGTTTTTGTGTGGTGTCGATTCGTGAAGGTGGTGTATTTGTGAAGGTGGTGTTTCACGTTTCGGACCTGGTCGTCGTGTTGCTTGGAAATCGTAGTTCTTTTTTTGTGTGAGTCGTAGCTCTTTTTATTAAGAGAATGGGTTTTGGGTGTGCGAGGTGTTGCTTGAGTGTTTCACCCAGGCCCATAACCAAAGGTATTGCGTGAAGGTATCTGCGTTTATATGTTGTTTTTTTACCGTTTTGTATGATCAGATTTGGTTTGTTGTTACTTGTGCATACATCATGGTCTGTCAGGGGTGTTGGTGAGCGAGTTTCTTAGGAGGGAGGAAATTTTTATGTATAATTTATTATTTTAGGCTTTTATTGAGTTTTGTTCTAGGCTACCAGAGTGGCCCGGGGTCACTTGCTCGGCCGGGCCAAAAAAAATAAAAATAAAACAATATTTTTA